TGTGTTCCCTCTCTCACTGTGTCTCTCTCTGTCAAATAAATAAATAAAATCTTAAAAAAAAGAAAATTTTTACAAGTATTATTTTATGAATGTGTGGAAAGAAATGATTTGAAAGATATTCAATTCAGATTTTTTTTCTAATAGGGAATGAGCAAACACATTTCAGCTGGTTTTTTTCCTGCTGAAACTTTATGTCCCACATTCTTACAGTCCTTAATGAAAATACTGTATAAAAGCAAAACAATTTCATGGTTGTCCTGTCTCAAGACTATTTGAAAAATGTTACTTGAGGCATGGAGTGGTAGGTTCTGAGAGCATGGGAGTCTGTGTTCTCTGAGCTCAGAGCAGGCTCTCAGTAAACCACTTTTGAGTTACAGAAGCCAACAAGGTGATCTGGATATTTAAGCACCTAATTACTTTAAATGGAGGGTAATGATGGTAAGTTTTCCCTTGAAGAATCCAAATCACTGTTTTGATTTTTCACTTTAGTATATAACCCTGAGCTAAATGTGGCCATTAAAATCCCATTTTTTTTTTTTTGAAGAATTGACTTCTAGAGGAATAATACTGGGAAAAATCAAATTAAATAGAATACTTTGCTACAGAACTTCTCCAGAGCCATTAATGCTAATGTGCGTAGGGAATCCCCAGTAAGTATTTCTCAAACTTATTTGACCCTACAATGCCCTTTTCACAGAGCTTTTGTGTTCTGTGGATTTTGGGAAAAGCTGTTCTATGTTGTATTTCACTCTCTCCATCTCCAAGGAAGGCCCACAATGATCTGCTTTGAGAGTTTGCTTATTTGTGAAACATAATCAAAATGAATACTTGAAAATCACTACATAAATTATTTTAAAGTATCAGTGGTAAGTAACATGTGAAGATGTTCAGATGAAGAAAACTCTGGTGATTGGGAGTAAATATTGCTCTCCCTTCTGAAACTTCACTTTTCAGGATGTTACAGCATTATGTCTTCACTCTAGATCAGTGCTTAAGAGTTCTTGAGATGTGCAGTTAGCCTCAGTTTTGAAGGGCAGCATCCATATACCACATTGAGCCATATTAGGAACTGTGAGGTGGTTGCCTTCCATAGTTCTACTTAAATATAGAAGTTTATAGTAATTCATCTTAATTTTAGAGATTTGAAAAAAAAGAAAAAGATGAAATTTCTTCTCCCTGAATTCCTCAAACTGAGGTAGTAGAGTAGCTGTGACCATGGCAGTCATTTTATTTACCTTTATATTTCATACTTGGATTTCTTCACATCTTTCTCTGCCTCAGCATTTTGAGTATCTTCTCGGGCACAGTCAATACACCATCTGATATATCTATGTATTTTGTATCTGCTCTCTTCTCTAGATCTTAATGATACTCTCCTATCTCCTTTTCTCTATGCTCAAGATTTCAGGTCTGAGTTCTGTTGTCTTTAAACTTGACTTCTTAAAGAACAGAAACATAAATAAGGACAGGAAAAAATAGATCATTACTAAAGTGACTTTCACAACACGCCCCACCTTTTCTTTTTTTTAGTATTTTGGGATACCTGTGGCTAAAGGGGAAAAAAAGCTTGTGAGGAAAAAGAAAAGTTGGTTAATTTAAGGAAATTAGTAAAAGTTAAAAATATTAGTTTTAAAATGTGTTTCACTATTTGGTGAAATTTTAACTCAGACGCATATAGGTCAAGATAATTTTTTTGTTACAAAACTTTCTATCTTAACCCTGTTCTGATCTTTCTTTAGCAGTATGTAATTTTTTAAAGTGTGGTAAAAAGCTCCTTCTAACCCAGTTAGAAGCTGGCGACTGTGGTCATTGCTAACTAAAGCCTCAGGATTTGACTGAGGGGAAAGCAGAGGGTATACTCCACCCCCCCGCCCCCCGCCTATGTTATTGAGACCTGAAATTCTAAGTGTATCAAAAATTAAGGTGTAAAACATGAGGACCACAAAACATGTTGCACACATACATGTTTTTATACATGTATGTGTGTGCATACATACATACATACGAAAATGCTTCCTTTAGACTTGGGTCTGAAATCCCAGAAGATTTTGTATTAGAATAGCAAAGATGTAGGTTCTTCCTTTTACACTTAACTTACAGTTAAACTCTTGTAAAGATTGTACTTAGATCTTTGTAAATGCGGAAAGATTGTATCTGAAAAAGAGGAAATCTCTGTCATATCGATTAGAGTTTTATTTTTATTTTTTTTTAAGATTCTATTTATTTATTTGAGAGAGAGGGAGAGTACAAAGGGAGAGTGACAGGGAGAATCAGACTCCCTGCTCAGAAGAGAGCCCAGTGTGGGGCTCTATCCCAGGACCCTGAGCTCATGACCTGAGCTGAAGGCAGACTAATCAATTGAGCCACCCAGGTGCCCCTTGATTAGAGTTTTAATTGATAACTATCTTTTTATATGTTTTAAAGTAATATAATCTTAAGGCTTTCATGGGAATAAATAAAAGTGTTAATAGTGAGTATATCTGGGTGATGGGATTATGTACAGTCATAATTATCTACATAGCTTTTCAAGTTTTCTATAGTGAGCATGTCTTCTTTTTCTTTTTCTTTTTTTTAGATTTTATTTATTTATTTGACACAGAGAGAGAGAGAGAGAGAGAGAGCACACAAGCAGGGGAAGCTGCAGGCAGAGCGAGAGGGAGAAGCAGGATCCCTGCAGAGCAGGGACCCAGATGTGGGTTTTGATCCCAGGGTCATGGGATCATGACCTGAGCCAAAGGCAGCTGCTTAACTGACTGAGCCACCCAGGCGTCCTATAGTGAGCATGTCTTAATTTTATAGTCAGAAAAAAATGTTGATTTAAAATGACTGCCATTTATTTAAGAAGGCTCTTATGAATGTTTAGAAGTTTTTTCTGCATCTTTTTTTTTTATTATTGCTGCTCTTTTTGTCTACAGAGTTCTCATAGCTCAGAACTCAAAAGAGTCACTAAAGATGCCTTCCTACTTTCATCAGCTTGGGCTGCTATAACAAAATACCACTTCTAGGTGGCGTAAAAAAACAGAAATGTATTTTCTCACAGTTATGGAGGCTGGAAGTCCCAGATCAGGGCGAGAGCGGGGTTGGGTTCTGGTGAGAGCTCTCTTCCGGGCTCGCAGATGGCCACCTTCTTGCTGTGTCCTCACATGGCAGGGAGCAAGAGAGAATAAAGAAGCTCTCTAGTGTTTCTTCTTATGAGGGCTTCATCCTCATGACCTCATGTAACCCTGATCACCTCCTAAAGGCCTCATCTCCAAATACCATCACATTTCCTTCACATTAGGGATTAGAGCTTCAACATAGGAATTTTGGAGGCATGTAGACATTTAGTCTGTGATACACTCCTTTCACTCAAACTGGCAGTATACAGGATTTCTAGAAATTGCATCTAGAATAGAAAAAGACTAGCTGGCTGTACCTAAAACATGAGTGGTGGTTATCTCTTGATGGTAGGTTTAGAGGTGATTTTCTCCATTTTCTAGAAATTTAAGGTGCCATTATTTTTATAACTGGAAAAAATAACAATAAATATTATTTTTAAAGGAAAATGAAATGCTAGAGAATATAACATTCCATAATAATCTTGCAGATTTCAGAATCTTTTTATTTCTTCTTCTTGGTTTTTTTCTGAGAATTAATGAAAATGTCTTCAACACTTAGAGCTCTTGGATGTTCACATGTAGTGGCACTCAATTAAGAAGTTGTTTCTCCTCATTTTCCTCCATTTAATGATGATGACAATGTTAAATGATAATAGCAATGATTATTATATTGCCCCATGAGACATGCCATCGACAATAGAATATAGGAAATTAAAATGGAGAATAGCCACAAAATCAGGACAGATGTTTGCAAAGTTTTTCCTATGAGTTGGTTCTAAATAGAATAGGCCATCCATTGTTTTTACTTTTGGATTCAATACATTATCAGAGCAATACATTATCAGATTCCTGATAATGAATTGGTAAAAAAAAAATGAGTTAATGGTTTGTTTTTCATTAACATTCAGTTGCAAATGTGATATCAGCTCGTTGGATCTGTACCATAAAAGAGCAGGTACATGGTGTCAGGGAGGAAACTTACAGTCAAACTTTCAGTGTATTTTTTCCAAAGACTGGTTGGAGTTTAACACCTCAGGTTGGGGAAAGATTTTTTCCCTTTACAAGAGCTCTCTCTTTTCTTTTTAATGCATCATTTCTTACTATGCTCTATCTTGTGTGTATAGTCTGTCATTTCCTTAAAAAAATTCCCTGTGGTTGTTTTTTTTTTTTCTCAATCTCACAGTTGAGTGTAATATTTCTAGTTTTTTCAACTCTGAAAGTCAATAGATTAGAAATGCCCTGCAAAGTAGAAATGTTTTTTGTCACGCAGGGAGCTGCTCGCCAAATAAATCATGACATTGTGATATATTATTTCCAGTTGCTATAAATTTTCAATATTTAATATATCAGTCATACTAAGTCAGGATTCAGTTATTTAATTTCATTGATGTCTGTATTCTAGATGAGAATTCTTTTCCTCATTAGTAGATTTTAATTTCCTTCTCTCTCAGAGTCAAATTCCAAGCTTGCCTTATAAAACCAGGCACAGAGTATACACATGAACAAACTGTTTTTGTGTTTACAAGTAGACTAGAAATTGTACTCTGGTAAACTATATCTGAAATTACAAATTTGTCCACTTAAATGGTATTTTTTAACACTTTAGATCACTTTTGTCACTGTTGCTTTGATAATTTGATTACCAGGTATAGACAAACATATCTAGGCAACTCTCCATATTGTATTGTCACATGATCTTTATTGAGAGCTTAAAAAGTAATCTCACAAATGATCCTCAAAAGTGAAAAAAATAAATTGTTCTGAACTCAGGGTTATGCCTGTATCATAGTTAATGTCTTACTACCCAAATTACTTTCTGGAATTCTGTTTTGATGATACTGAAAAAAATTTTTTTCTTTCTTTCTTTTTTTTTTTTTACCCTTTTTTTTTTTTTAACAACAGGACACAAAAATCGCTTCATTGGAGCGAAACATAAGGGATCTGGAGGATGAGATCCAGATGTTAAAAGCCAATGGTGTGCTGAACACTGAGGACCGCGAAGAAGAGATCAAACAAATAGAGGTTTACAAAAGTCACTCCAAGTTCATGAAAACCAAGGTATGGTCCAAAGTTATAAACTTTTATACTCTTAGTGTGACTGGAAAGTTACGGTTTACATACATACTTTCCCCAAATAGCCACATAACCTGTTTTATGTGATATCATGAAATATATGGACAATAAAGAAGAACACAGAAGATTTTTTTCATTCAGAATCCTAGATTTCAAAAAGGGATCAGGGAACATCTTTGGTCAAATTTCTACTCATTAAGGTGTTCAAGATTTTCTAATGAGTAAGTTTGGTGTCTTGGGAATGAACATTTACTTGTAATAATCTCCTCTCTTTCAAACTGCCTGAGTTTTCATAAGTTTTTCTATTTTGTGAAGTTTCTATTATTGCCAAATTTTGGCCCATCCCTGAGAAGATGACTGTCTCCAGAGGTATTGATCTTGGAAGCCAATTTAACTGATTTCAAGGGTATGAAGACATTTTGGTTTTAGCATAGTGTTTAAGGTAGAACGGACTTTGCATTCCAATGCTACTGTTTGCTTAAATTGTTCAGCTTCTTTAAGCCTCAGTTTTTTCATCCATGAAATTGGCATAAGAGAAAGGAAAGTACCTTCATCATTGGGTTGCTTTGACAATTCCAAGAGATTATGCATTTAAAGCACTTAGCCCCTGGCTAATCTCTAGAAAGCATTCAATAATTGTCAGGCATTGTTATCGATAGTGTTATTATTTTTATATTATTATTATTTTTTAAAGACTTTATTTATTTGAGAGAGGACAGAGAGAGCACGAGTGGGGGGAGAGGCAGAGGGAGAGGGAGAAGCAGATACCCCGCTGAGCAGGGAGCCTGACAAGGGGCTCGATCCCAGGGCCCTGAGATTATGGCCTGAGCCAAAAGCAGATGCTTAACGGACTGAGCCACCCAATAGTGTTATTATTATTATTGGTATCTGTTTATAAAATATAATTTTGCAATATATATAAAATATTTATAAAATATAATTATGCAATATTTATAAAATATAATTATAGTAACCTGTTCCATTAATTTATATTGGTATTGCCAGTTTTAAAGAATTTGGTTTGTTACTTTTTAAAATTAAACTTTGGGCTACAAATGAACTGAATGCCTAAATATCTATTATTTTTATACATGCTTAATTATTAAATTTATGAATAGCCCCAAGTAGGTCTTTTGAGACTTTGAGATGCTTTTATTTATCCCTGGATTTAAGCTGTTTTGCTTCTGAAGTAATAACCACACCAATTAAAATTTTTTTTCTTTTTTCTACCATGTACTCTTAAACACCCCTGGTCTTATTCTAAGTTTTACTTTTGTTTATTGCCTTATAAAATGCAGCATAGTTAAGAGTAATGCAGACTTCTATGAAGAACCAGTGGAAGTGGAGACAGAAAATGTTTAAATGATGGTATGATTTTTATCATTGTGAAATATTTGCATAGTCATTGCAGGGAATTTGCAAATTATAGAGAGGAAATAATATGTAGCATCTACTTCACCACGTTTGTGTGTTGCATGTATGTGCATTTCTCTACAGAAAAAAACAAAAATTTTGCTTACTTCTGCCAACTTTACATTTGTAAGTTGATGTTGAGATTATGACAAAAAGTTTAGATGAAGGAGTGGAGGGAGATCTGAGGAGAATGTCTAGTGGATTTGAATGTAACCCTTTCCTTTCAATGAGTTCCACAAAATGCAGAATGGGCTTCCCCGTTCAGCCCTCTCTGCCAGTTTCTTTTTTGCAGTCCTTTCCTCTCAGAGAGTTGAGCTAGGGTGTAGCAAGCCCAGTGGTAGGGTGGCCTGTTGACTAAATAATGACCATTCTGTCTGGGATTGAAGCTATGAAGATAAGCGTGAACTCATAACGTTTGGGCAAAATTATTGTTTTGGCTTAAATTTTTCCTCCCTATTCTGTCATTCAATAGTGGGAGATAGTTCAAGGCACTTTTACAACTAAAATGCCATGAAATTTGTTTAGGTAAATAAAACATGTATATGGTCTTCAGCAAGCAGGCCTTTATCAGTCCGTAGGTGTCTGAGAGACCATTGGTCCTTGAGTTGGTTTTAACTCTTAATATCTGGTTACTTTTAAGGGTTCCATAAGTGGTTGGGTCAGAAGGATGTTTGAGGAGAGAAATGGAGTAAGGTAGAAAGAGTGTAGGCTGACACATAAAATGTACTCTGGCAGATCTCTAGCCTGCCTTTGCTAGTTGCATGGTCTTGAGGAGTAACTTATGTCACTCAACCACTTTGCTCTTCTATAAAATGGGGCAACACCACAAACCTTAAAGGGAGACTCACAGGCTTAAATGAAATAATGTAATTAAAATGCTTGGCTCAAAAAAGTAGCTAATAATTATCCCCGTTATTATTGAAGAAGTATAACCAAATAATAATATTAATAATAATAATAAATGTCATATTTCACTTGACTAATGGGGGAAATGGATTTCTAAGAATATAAATAAAAAGAAGATTTTATAATATGCAGAAGTCCCTTATAGATTGATAAAAGATTGCTAAAAAGTATTAGTAAGAGTTAGTTTTTTGTATTTTCTCCATGGATTAATTCTTAACATTCATTGTTTATACTTCATATCATTACTTCAATTGATTATTTTTCTTATTTCTACTTTGAGAGGGGAGAGTGGGTATGGTCGAGCAGGTCTATTAAGACATAAGCTATTGCTAAGCATTTAGTCCTGAGTGCTTGTGTTTTGTTCTTTGTGGAATCCCAGATGCTGTGTGAACTGATTCCAGTTGGGTGAATCACTTGTCATGGAATTTATTAAATTTTAGAGGCATGGATTGATATTCTCTAAAATTGGATTATTAGCATAATTCATGGTCTATTGTGGCCTGTTTGGATAACTTTTTTTTTTTAAGATTTTATTTATTTGACACAGAGAGAGAGAACAAGCAGGGCAAGCAGCAGGCAGAGGTAGAAGCAGGCTCCCTGGTAAGCAAGGAGCAAGGATGTGGGACTTGATCTCTGGACCCTGTGATCATGACCTTAGCCAAAGGCAGACCCTTAGTGGACTGAGCTTCCCAGGTGCCCCTGGATAACTTCTCTACAAGATTTATATGAATATGTTGCTTGTCAATATCATCACAGACACCTGAAGGGTTAATTTTTGCAATAGTTGATTATACACATTGACAGAACAATTGTTTGGTGTCATTATTACAGTCTCTTGAACTCTTTCATTTACACAGAGTTGTGCGGATAAAGCTTTTGGTGGTGGATTTTTGAGCTCTGTGGTTCCCAAAGACTTACTAAACCTTGTTTTTAGCACATGACACTGAGCTAGCTACTGAGGGGCTCTAAAAGTAGTGCATATTCAAAATGTTTCTCACTTCAAAGCCAATACTGACCACTTAGTTGGGAAAGTAAGAAATGTCCTAGAAAAATTACCCTGATGATATGATAAGAGGGGAGTTCACTTCTGGCTGGAGTAATGCAAGTAGTTTAAGTTTAGTTCGTGTTTTTTGTCTAAATAACCAGATTGGCAAAATAGCAATGATAGGTCTGGTGAAGAATGCAAACTCAAATCAGTGACTGAGCAAACCTAGAAGGGTAAGTAAAAATACCATCCCACCCCAACTCCACACAGAGGAGGAAGTGGGAAGAACTCGAGTCTATGTGAAATGGCAGGTTTTCCAAAAAAGGAAAGAAAGAGGCTCTGAAGCTTACCTGGGGGAAATGGAAACGTAATTGTGAAACTCAAGGGTTTAGTGAGGCAGTGATAGAAATGGAAATCAGAAAGTGACTTTGGATCTCAGCTAGCAAAGAATGCAGGCATAGTTGACTTTAGAAACTGTTGTTTTAACAGTTTATAAAGACGCAGAGTCCTGGTAGAACATTTCAGAAATTCTTCTGAGATGCTGCATAAGGAGGGGAGTGGAACTTGGAACCAGATCTGAAATTGCATCTAATTTTGTTACTTCTTCTTGCTGCTTGTAATGAATATGTAGAAAGCTTTTATTTATTTATTTATTTAAAGATTTTATTTATTTATTAATGAGAGACAGAGAAAGAGAGAGAGGCAGAGGGAGAAGCAGGCTCCCAAGGAGCAGGGAGCCCGATGTGGGACTCGATCCCAGGACCCTGGGATAATGACCTGAGCTGAAGGCAGACGCTTAACCATCTGAGCCACCCAGGCGCCCATGTAGAAAGCTTTTAAAAGTGCCCAGAGAACTTCTTTTTTACCTGGTGTTTTAGAGAGGCACCTTCAGAGTGATAACTGTTTGCAAAGGCAGCAGGCTTGGAGGTGCTCTTCGATCTGAGTACTTCTTAATAGAGATCTAAAATGAGTTCTATCATGATTCTTTGGAAGTTTACTACCTTTAAATAAAAAAAAAATGATAAAAAAATTCAACCTGGCCATGAAAAAAAGCTCCTAAAATTGGATAAACACATATTTACATTCTCATTTGACTTTTTTTTGGAAATTTTAGTCAAAAATTGTTTTTATAACCCGTTGGTGATAAAATTGACTCAGCATTTGATTGCTCTTCATTAACAGGGCATGACCTCAAATCAGTCTCAATCTCAATGTATAATTATTTGCTCCAAGTAGGTAATAAGGGCAGCTAATAATAATTCTTGTATACAAACTCATTTTTAGGTATAAAAGTATGTTGAAATAGGTAATTTTAAATGTTTCAATGAAAATTTGACATAGAAACAATGTTGTGGAATGTAAAGGGAATGATGCTTGCATTAATTATTAAAATGAGTAAAGCATGTAGGTTGAAGGGAAAAGAAATATTTTAAATAGCCATGTGAAATGGCATGCGCCTCAGTTTTGATGCTGAACAGATGACTAGGACTGGTAGGGCCTCTTGAAAGCTTTGTGATTAAATTAAGTAGAAGTGAAGACCCAAATTGCTTTATAAATATGATGTCATAGAAAAACCATGACGTAACATGTTTGCAAAGGTGGAAGGTGAATTGCAAAAATGTAAAAGTACAGTTTAGAGTCTCAACTTGTGGAAAGGCACAGATACCAGACATAGTTGGCC